TCTAATAAATCGAAAGAGACTGTTTACCATGGCGTAGAGATTGGAGAATCCATTGACGAGAGTGGGAGTCTTGGTGAATCGCTGCTGAAAGGCGTCGCTGAGATTGTGAGCGGGGTCGGTGGAGATGATGATATATATATATATATATATATATCTAATAAATCGAAAGAGACTGTTTACCATGGCGTAGAGATTGGAGAATCCATTGACGAGAGTGGGAGTCTTGGTGAATCGCTGCTGAAAGGCGTCGCTGAGATTGTGAGCGGGGTCGGTGGAGATGATGAGGACGGAGGATCGGACCGTCGAGAGGAGAATGGAGAGGATTGAGCTGCACGTGGTTTTTCCGACGCCGCCCTTGCCGCCGACGAACACCCACTTCAGGCTCTCCTGCTCCAGAATGTTCTGGACAGTTCCCTCCGGTAATTCCGAGTCTGCCGCCATAATTTTGAGCTGAGCCTAATTTTGCTTCTCCGAGTCTCTCTCTCTTCGAAATCTAGTGGAGAGAGAAGAACGAGTCAGTTCTGAATTTGGAATTACTTCGAATCAAATGGAATCGAATAGAACTGGGCAGAACCAACACGCCAGTGTCGAGTAGTGGGCGTTCGTTGATGGGGCTGGATTTTAATTGGAAGGGAAATTTTACAGAAAATTTAGTTTACCTCCGGATAACCTAGATCATAATTTCTACCATTTTAATAAAGTCGACCCTTCTTATTTTGATATTTTAATCATATTTTAAAAGATAAAAATATCCCTAATTATAACGATGTTTGACATAATTAAAAATAAAAATAATTTTTTAATTTAGTATAAAATTAGTGAAAAATAAATTTATTTTTTGTTTTTGTTTTTTTTCTTTTAAGTAGAAAGAGACATTATGAATTTTTTATATTAAAAATAATTTCTTAATAAAATTACCAAACTCATTTTTAAAAATAATTTCTATCTGAAATTGAAAACGTTTTTATTTCTATTTTTATACAAAAAATAAAATTATTTTAGAACGAGTTCTAAACACACTCAATATATCTTGACATCTTCCTCTCTCTCTCTCTCCATTCACCCCATCTACTTCTCTCTCTCCTCCATCCGCCCCCTCTGCTTCTATCTCTCCTCCATGTCATTTGATCTCCTCGCTCTCTTGCCGCCTCCTTTCTCCACCGTAGCCAAGGCTCCTCCACCCCTGTCTCTCTTCTCCACTCCTCTCTTTCCTCTTTGCTCATATCTCTCTCCTCTTTCTCTCTCCGGCTGTCGTAGTTCTCCCCTACACTGCACCTTTTCTCTTTTCCATGCAGATATAGCTGTCGCGATTTGAAACTCGCCGAAGTCACACCTCTGATTTGTTGTCACATTTGGAAGTTATGTCGCTAAGGGAGGTGTTGTGACACTGGAAACTCCGATCTTTTCCTCTGATTCTCTAATCTCCTCTGACCTTGTAGGTTGCAGCCTCACGCACCTCTTTTGTTGCGCCGTTACCAAGCGCGGCACCAACGCTGCCATCAGCGTCTAAACCAGACAAGCTTCTTCCCTCTCTTTCTCCAGATCAGCCGATTTCGACGATGTTTTCGACCTCCGGTCGTCTTTAACGCGGCCTCCATTCTAACTAGGTTGGTTTTACTGTTATTATTATTTCTTTTTTATTCTGATTTTAGTAATTTTCTTTTTCTCCGTATAGTTTGTTAGATATTTATTTTGATTTGGCTTTTTAATCGAATCTATTTTTGCCAGTGCAGCGCTCATAATGAAAATTCAAGGAATTTGCTCCTTTTGAAAAATAGGCTTAAAATGTGTAATGTGTTTAATGAGTAGGCTCCAAAATAGAAAGTTTCAATGAGTAGGCCTCTCATTAAATGAAAAAATATGTATTCCCTAAATGCCCTTCTCTTTTTCTCTCAAATTAAAAGAAAAAACGTTTGAAAAGGAGGAGCTAAATCCCCTCCTTCGCTGGGCAGTCACGAGGAAACGTTGCCGGCCAAAGTTCACCGGCGGCGCCGCCTTTCACCGCCGGAGAATGCCCCTACCTCTAGTATTCTCTCAAATCTTGTATTTTTTATGCTTAATTCATTGTTTGAATGCTGGGTAATCGTGGTTTGGTATTTTATTTGAAAAACCAACAAGAATCATGCTATTTCATGGCCTCTTCGGAGTTGAGTAATCTGCAAAATCGAAGAAACTCACGTCTGTCATTTCTTTCCGTTCTGACTGGTGGGAGCGGTAAGAAACCTGAGTCTGGTCAGAAAGTTCTTACTGGTGTGCCCTGTAAGAAAATTGCCAACCGGTCTTTCCAGTAAGAAAGATCTGATCGGGCATAATTTTGCCTCTCTTTAAGGTGACCCGTCATTTTTCCCTCCCCATTTAAAGGATATTTTGGTCATTCACTCTTATCCCAGGAATAAAAAAATGAAAATTGAAATTCTATTTATAACGGGTCTACGAATTGAATGGGTGTACATTTGGGGCCTATTGACTTAAAAAATCCCACAAAATGTAATATAATATGTTGTGACAATGCACGGGGTGGAAGTGGACATGAGCCTGTACATGCCGGATTTGTGGGGGAAGGGATGCTTATAGCAGCTATTTGTGGGGATGTTTTTGCTTCGCCTACAGTTGATTCAATTTTAGCTATATGGCCTCTTCCAATTCTTTTCATGGAACTCAAGACAATTAAGCTATTAGTTATATAAAAATCAGAGGATAATCTAATGTTGTTGAAGCTTAGGACATCCGAGCTGTCATTGGTCCAATCTGATTGTCAAGGTAATTCTCTTTAATTAGATTTTACTTAGCTTATATTACAATTTTGCTTTGTTGTTAGGCTGTGAACGGCAGCATTAATCTGTAAACGCACTCTTTACCTAACAATACAAAATGGAAAAAGGAGAACATCAAAATTCCTTTTTAGAAGTAAAGGAGAAAAACTGTACATCTGCTTGAGCATAGAATGTCTCTTTGGCTTAAGAAATATTCTATAGTGATAAGTGTACTACAGTCAACTTAAAAATGTTTGAATAACATGATAAAAGGGTCTATTCTGCTATCTTCTATTCAGTTGGGAAAATATTGAAAGCTTTTGATGTTTCATGTTGCCATTTCTATCACAAACAAACACAATATTTTCGTAATTTTTTTGTTATTGTTTTGTTACATAGAACATTGTAAATCAAAACTCTCGAAACTGATTGGAAAATAACATATTGTTGAAAATGAAACGGATTTTAATTTGGGTTTGGCCAATGAAGCTCTTTGTGGAAGTAACCAAGTAAAGATTTTTAGTTTTTTGTACTAACTTTGGCATCTAAGATGAAAACTCAAATGATGAAAATATCGAGAGTTTTGATGAAAATATCAAGTAAAGACTTTTACATGGTCTGTAAGTTATACGGAAGTTAATGGTGGTTTTAAGAATATTTATAACTACTACGACTGATTCAGTATTTTAGCTTTTAATTCACCAGATGAAATCGATAGATTCTTGGAAAATGTTGAACTTCTTGAATATTTCTTTTGTGTTTTAATTTTTCAATTTGATTATTGTTGCTATAAATCTAGTGATACTTATTGAAAAAACAATATAATGTAGCATACTATGCTTTATATTTTGGCTGGTTATGAAGCATAATCTATCAGGTTATGGGTAATAAGTTGATAAACTATGGTCGGCGCCTATGATCGGCAACCGGCGTAATTTATCAAATTATGGATCATAACTTGATAGACTATGGCCATCGCCAGTATAATTTGTGAGGTTATAGATTATAACCTGATAGATTATGGACAGCGGCCAGTGTAATCTGTCAAGTTATGGATCATAACCTGTCAGGTTATAACTGGCGGCCGGCCGGAGACTGGCCAGCGACCGGTGTAATTTGTTAGGTTATAGATCATAACCTATCAAGATGCGGCCATCGGCGGGTGTAACATGCTAGATTATATATCACAACCTGTCAGGTTATGGATCATAACCTATTAGATTATGGTCGGCGGTCAGCCGACAATGGGAGACCTGCCGGCAATGAGAGACCGTAGGCATATCTTATATTTACCAGTGGACTATTTAGAGTAACTTTAGAATTTTAAAAATGTTTAATTTAACTATTTTTATTATTTTAATTGTAAAAGGATAGAAATGAATGAGCTAATCTTTGAGGGTTAGAAATTTTTTGGGGTACTAGTTTGGGGGTTATTTCCCTTTTTTTCTCAAAATTTTACTTACACCTAAGATTTTATTAAGCACCCTAATGTATTTAAAAATTAAAATTACTCTCTTTTTAAAATTAAAATTCCTCCAAGTTCCATAAATATTCTTATGTACACCCATCTACTTTTAAAATATGGTTTGTTAAAAGGTTTACTTTCCTTTTTTTTTGAAAAAAATATTTTTTAAAATAAAAAACTCTATTGGAATCTTTTTCCCTCCACATAATTGAATCTTTTCTTCTCCACGTAATTTCTTAAGTTGAAGAACAAATAGGGTAGAGAGTTCACCAAATAATGGAACAAGATGAGAAAGTTTTATCAAATTTTAATGTATGGTTTTTTTTTTTTCCTTTCTCTTTTGTGTTTTGTTTTATTGAAATTTTTCCTAGAGTTGGTTTTGATTTTAGGTTTTTAATTATATTTTGTTGGACAAAAAAGATAAACGAATCGAGAATTTTTGCTCAAATAGTTTTAGAGCCCGTTTGGTAAAGGGATTCGTTCCCTATTTGAATCATGATTCATGGTTCGCTACAGTATTTTCTCTCACAAAAAATACACGTAAATTGAAAATGATTTTAATCGCATAGTTTTAATCCATGAACGTGTTCACTACATATATGGTATAGTTAATGGATAACTTGTTTTTTAAGGGATAACTTGTTATTTTTATGTTGACTAGTGTTTGCAAAAATTTGATATATATTTTTGTTAGATTTATTGTTAACCTATAATTTGATCAAGGCTCTTCTTTTTTTTTTCTTGGAAGGGAGATCGAGGGAGAGAGAGAGTCGGATGGGGGAATGAGAAAGGAAAAGTGAAAAACATGAAATGGAGTTGAGGTTTTGGGAGAGATTGAGAAAGTCAATTTTTTTTTTCCTTCCTATGTTACTCCTTCCCCCACCTCAACATGGCCAGAGAAGGGAGATGAGTGGCATGGCTGAGGTTCCAGCCATGCCACGTGAAAGGGCAGTTGGCCCTGTTT